CTTATGGACTCAGCATGGCCGCTATCATTATATTTCATAAAATAAATCAATATCAAATATCAAATACAACTCTGAAAGTTTCTCCAATATCTCTTCTGTTCATGAACAAGAATGTATCAAGTGCAAAGGTTCAGGACCATATATTAAGTTGCAGCACAGAAGTTTTATTTAAGCCTATATCCAAGAATCTATCAACTAACAACACTAAACTGGTACTTGATAAAGTTCAAAGGAATTCAAGGGAGGCTGGACTTGGATCGTTTGTGGCAACATAAGGATTCTAAGCTGATGACACATTTACTTCCAACGCCCAGCTCTGCCTGTTCTCCTACAGAATCCACCCTTCCCTCTTTCATTCTTCTTCCAGACTGACGATTATGCCACAATCTGCATAATGAGCATTTCCAGGGAGTGTATGTTAATTATTGAAAGTTGTATGACACTTATCAGTTCTAATCTGAGTTAAACAAGATTTCTAAAAAGGGAAATGGTAGACAAAGATTACAAATAAATATGATTTGTTTTTATTAATGTGCATTTGCCCATTACCATCACTTTTTATTTTCATTTCTTATGTTGCCTTTGCATTCAAATTCTATTCAATTACTTTAATTCCAAATGAATAAAAATTGGTTGAAACCAAAACTAATTCTAGCTGCCAATTAATTGGGAAACTTCAGAATTATTCAAATTTGTACATTACCCAAAAAAGAAAAATGAGGAAAAGTAGTTTCAGCTTCTTGAATAAAATTTGTCAGGTGGGTAATAATTCTTACTTTAATTAAATCTGATTTAAATTTTATAATTATATTAATATCCTAATTAGATCTGGATACTTCCTCTGCCATGATCTTTGTATTTCACTGAATTTGGAGTCGTTGCATCGATCTGGCAAATCAAGTTTTACTAGAAGATCATTTTATCTTGTTCACATTTCATCACTTTAACCCAGATTCTGTGACTGCATATATGGGCTCTGTAAAGGTAAAGCTCTCTCCATGGAAACCAACAAACTGGACAGGATCAATGGTGGGATTCAATTTTTTTTACTACCAGTTCTGTGGGCGTGGCTTGGTGGGAGTGGCAGGGGAAGGATACTGTAAAATCCCCATTCCTCCCCACTCCACTAACCTGCTTTCCAGCTCCATTCTCCTGTGCAGGGCAACAAAAGAAGACCCAGATGATCAGCTGGGACTTGGAGGCAGAGAATAGATGGAGGCAGGGCCAGTCAGAGGTAGTATTTGCCAGTTCTCCAAACTACTCAAAATTTCCGCTCCTGGTTCTCCAGAACTGGTCAGAACCTACTGAATACCATCTCTGGACAGGATCCAATGATCATTTACTAGTCCAAAACTAGGAGGTTACAACCTCTTGACTAGATGAGTCAAGAGCAAAAGTTAGTGACTGATCTGATATAAAAGATTAATCAAAGACAGCTTCAGTGCTACATAATTGTGAGTAGGGAACACTACCATATTATCTTCAAAATAATATTATGTCATTTAAGTAAAAGCAGAATGGGCACACTTCCTGATGGCAGCACAGCAGCTTATTCCAGCTTTCCTTTGCTTTATAGACTTGCAATGATTTATGGGAGGATTGGTTGCAAAGTTATTTTTTCATCACCATCATAACTGTGAACAGTCGCTAAGCTAGTTGCTAAACAAGAACTACATGTATTGTGTTTCTCACTAAAAACAATAAGAAAAATAATATACAACAGCATGCATCCCTGAATCTTTTACTTCCGAGGCTTGATTTTTATCCAACTAGTTATCGCAGGCACAATTAAAAGTCCTCAAAATAAATTTACCCAACTTATATAAATGCACAGTGGAGAATACACATGTAAGTGCAGGCATATAATTTTGTGTTTGGGTTGCAAAGTTCTATACCAACTCCTCATAGGCTATCTTTTTAAAGCTGTTTTTTTTCACTTACCATTTGTTTGGGACATGGAATTCCTCTTTACAAACATTGTTAATTGTTACTCTAGCTCTTGGAAAAGGCTCCATAGATACATGAGTACAAATGATCTGTTCTTTCTTCATAGAGTTGTATTATGCCACTGGAAAATTTATTACACACACACACACACACACACACAAACACACACAATTAGTGCATTAGTCAAATGTATCAAGTAATACACAAAATTCTGTATAAAAAGAATGGCACCAAAATATTATTGCAGTGCATTGATACCTGAATGTCTGAAATACACCGTGCTTCTGAAATAAAAATGCATTCAGTTGAATAAATGCCTCATCTATTTAAATGTTGCTTTTAATAGACAACCAAATGATAAAAACCACCAAGGCTGACCCATTGCTTATGTCCCCATTGGGATTGCAGACACCTAATAATTATGTCTAGAATTACATTTGGAATTATATCTAGATTGGAGGATCAAACTTTTATCAATTTCTCCAGGCTAGGTTCAATACACTTTAACAAGAGAATTTTCATGCAAAGGAAAAGGTGTAAGAGCTCTCTGATATGGTACATTCAGCCGCCAGATATGGGCATGATAGTGTTCACATAGCTGTTTCTAAGAGTATCCATTTTCTGACTTTTAGGAAACATTAGCCAAATGGATCAAGTTGATACAATGCATAACAAAAAAAAAACAAAAAACGAACCAAGGTAGAACTAATCATATATTTTCAGCCTCTAAGTTTTTAATGACACTCATTATTTATAAAGAACATTAAGTGGTTGTGGTTAATGATTGAGCACATCTTTTTCATGCAGAATGTCCCAGGTTCAGTTTTTGCCTTCTCTGGGAAACAACTGGGAGGAAAGAAATAATTCGTAATTTTGGGACATTTTTTGATTTACTTACGGTCTACGGTCCCTTTAGCACTAAGAATCTGACTTCAAAAGGCCAGATTTAAAATCTTATCCTTTATGATGGGAAGCTGAGAACTCTTCAAGAGATGGAGAATGAGATAGAATGAAACCAGTCTTAAGACAAATGAGAGAGTTGATGGATTTTAATTTTATTTATTGAAGAAATGAAAGGAAATCCTGACACGTATACTTGGAGGCAAGGCAAGGGTAAAAAAAAAGAAAGAAACTTGTGTCATAAATAGTCCATTGAGGCTTCAATCCACTCTTAACTTACTTGGGAGCAAGTCCCATTATATTACATACCATTTATTCACTAGTGATTTTAGCAGTAACCCTGCAACCTCTGTGCCAATATATCACTAATGCATATAGGCTTTATGGTGCCAAGGTAATGATTGTGTGATGCTCCATAAATCACTAGTAAGAAATAGTCTTACTTGTGAGAAAGCCTTGTGAAAATCAGCAAATCCTCAGAAAATGCTGAAGACTGAAGAGTGTCTCTAGCATTACCTGTTTACTTGAATAGATCTCCCTTCAAAATATAAAGGGATATTTCTTGACTCCGTATCCAGAATTTAAAATACGGATCATACAATGAGACGTACTGTGACATAAGTCAATCAGATGCCTCGGTGAAGCCTCCAAGCAGAGTCAAAAGGGGGTTTAGTCCTCCCTCGTAAGTCGTCTTCACTTCGCGTGGTATTCCAAGTCATTCTGCTCTGAAATACGAAGCTTCCACTTCGCGATGGTGGGCTAAGGACGAAGGGATTTAAGAAACAAAGAACCTCCACCGATTCCTTCCAAAGGAATTTGGGAAGGAATTTCCAGCGTCTCTGCCACTCCTTTCCAACTTTCTCTCACCCGAGGCAAGAAAATAAAGTTGGCCTTTTCTTTCTTCTCCTCCTACTCCATCCTCTATATCCGCGTGAACTCAGTGGCCGCCTCCCGCCCCCACTCGCTCTTCGTTTCCCCTCTCGCCCTTCCTTCTCTCATTCGCCTCCACCTCTGCGTTTTTCCCCTTTCCGAAACAAACGCTCGGCTCTTATGAATTATTTAGCCTTTTCTTTCCTGGCGGAGAGCTGCACCGCGGCCGTCTTCTCCTTGGCTGAACAGCTCCATCGGACACTTTGAGCCACCAGTTCAAGGAGTCGGAGGAGGCAGGGCCACGCGGAAAGGGGAAAACGGGACAGCTCAGCCCCGCCTCTGGAGACCGGGCCGCTCCTGGCAACCCTCTGCTTTCCCGAAACCGTCCCTTTTTCCTCACTTCAGCGATTGGCCTTTCTGCTAAGAGGGCTGGTGTGGTCTCTGCGCGCGGAGCGGGCTTCTCCGTCAAGGTTTTTTCTGCTCTTTCTCTGAGTCCCCGGCAGATGTGCAGAGGCTCATCGCGGAGCTCCATCGCAACCGCTCAGCCCTTCTCTCGCTCGACTTAGTGGCGCCGCTGACTCCAGATTCATGAGGGCAACGGGGGAGAAGCAGCGTGCGAAGGAAACGGAAAAGCGCTTGGCCAACGCCGAAACCGGCAAGCTCTTTGACAGCTGTCCAGGGTCCTGAACTTGTTCGATGGAACCTTTGGGGATTAGACCACTTTGAAAACTTTCTCTCGGGCAGCCGGAGGAATGCCGGAATACGGGAATCGTTTCTCTTTTCTCCGTCCTTGACAAGCAGAAAAGTCGGACAATCGGTTTATCGTTCCCTCGTTTTTAAGGGAACTGTTCTACGCGGGCAACAATCACGATCTCCCGGTTCCCCGCCCCCTCCGTGTTGCGTTTAGACGCATAAGAAACCTTGCGATCCAGACTCTGGTTTGGGTTGGTCCTCCGTCCAGCTGCAGCAGGTTCGGGAGCGATCGCTTCGGAAAGCAGGCTTGGTCATGTTGCCTGCCCGTTGGGGCAGTAGCGGCGGCAAGAGCAACAGCGGGTCAAGCGCGCAGGCGCAATCTCTTCCAAGGCTGCAGTTTCTGAGCTGTGAGCGCAGCCTTGCCACAGTCTGGGCTCTACCAGCTGCTGGAGCGCTACTACCATGAACTGCCTCATCAATCTTCCCACAGCTACTCCACAGCACTGGGCTCAAGAGACCTTCCGAGATCCTCCCAGCCCGCCCCACTGCGACCTCTTGGCTCCAGAGCCCAGCTCTGCAGGCACAGGAGGATGCCGGGGGGCAAAAGGGGGCTGGTGGCACCACAGAATACCTTCTTGGAGAACATTGTCAGACGCTCAAGTGGTAAGTCGCCTCTTCTTCTTCCTTTGTCCCCTGCAATATGGGATGGTCCAGGAGTGAGCTACGCAGGGATTGAACTGCCCCTAAAGTTCTTAAAGTGCTGTAAAAACATTTTTGTACTTCTGAATTTGAATGGAATATGTTAGATGCTGGAGAAAGTGGTAATTTGTACAAGATGGAGTTCTAATAGTACTTTTATTGCAGAGTTATGTTGTACTTTTAAATATGTTAAACTGTAACTCTCAAGAAGTATTAGTGGGTTACCTGTGATAGGATTTCCAACAACTCAAGAGCCACAAGAAAACCTCTTGCTTTCTTGATAGATAGCATAAATATGATGATTTTGCAATTATCATATTCACATTATATCTCTACTATATATTCATATTAGTGTAACCATAATTATACATCTTGCTTAGCCAATGGTGATCAGCAGAATATCAGTAGGAAAAACTGAAAAGAAAAAAGAGCTTATTCCCTGCCCCCAAGGAAACCTTTCCCAATTTAACATCTTTCAGATGTCTTGTATACAACTCACACTATCCCCATTTACTTCCATCAACCCAGCTGGACTTTATCAATGTTGTTAGAGTGATATGTTTTAAGTGTCTAAGATCAGGGAAAGCTGATGCATATGTCTGTGAAGGGGGCCTGGTCACTGGAGTATATGTTTTGCTAGCGGGGGAAAGACATTTTAGCAGGAAACAGTAGAGTCCTATGCATTTTTCATATGTAAACCTCACTGAAATAAGCCTCATTAAATTCTATGAGATATTTTACTAGGTAATAAATGTAGGATTAGAACTAAATTTTTCATTTCATCTAAACAACAATAATAGTGACCAGCATTTTTTTATTGGAAAAAAAACAAAATGCTTGAAGAAACCCTAAGTAAGTTCTGTAATTCTGAAGTAGAAATTGCTCAAAAAGTGAAATACTCACTGTGTATGGCAGGTTCACCTCTCCCTGAATTATCTGCAAATGATAATAATATGATTAGGAGCATGCCTCCAAGTTTAGATGAGTTTCACTACTTCATAATGGGTCTTTGAGTCTTTATATTTATAGCTATACTGTATCTATACCTTTATCAACCATCTCCCTCTCTCTCCCTCTCTCTGTGTATTCACAGAGAGATATTAAAATTGTATACTCTCTGTGTATTCACTTAGCTGTAGATATTTAAATTGGGAATAAAATCTAGGTTAGAACAAGAAACAAAAACTCTCTTTCCCCCAAACCTCACTTTCTTTATCAAGCTATTTAAAGTAAATCTGCAAAAAGCATATATATTTCTCTTTATGTGTGTATGGGCTGATGATAAACTAGTGTGTTTGTTTTGGTTGAAATTACAGTTTGCACAATTATTATTACCTTTCATGTGTTGTGTAGTGAGAATATCAAAATAGCTATCAGCTTTTAGAAAAAGTGTTCATAATAGATGTGTGATAATTTTTAAACACTGCACAACTATATATATTCCATCTTTCTCCCCAAAGGGCATGGGACAGATTTTAACCACAGGTTTGAAAAATAGAACAGACTGAAAAAACAGTGCCTAACTTAAGTCCATCAAGTATGCAAACATAAAGTGATTTGAGAAGATGCAAATTTGGAGGTCAAATGAACTCTACAGCTGAGACCCTCTTGAACCTAAGCCACTCAATGAAAATGAACAATTTTACTGGTTATCTGATATTACTGATGTATTTTGTTTTATATGTATCATTTTCCTTCTCTTTAGTGTTTTTGTAAACATTTAAAGTTACTCATTCTGTCCAAGAGTGTTCCGGTGCTTGTAAGACCACAGTACATACGCAGCAAGCCTTAAGGAAAGTGTGTTCTAAAAATGTAAAAAAAAAAAAAGAGGCTGTGAGGTTTTGTCTTTAATTCTACTGTTAGGATAATTAATACAAGAATGTTGCTGTATAAAATATTGGCAAGATATCTGGAAGCGTTCACCCTCCTTCATTTCATGCATAATTGAAAATATGCCAAATTGTTCCATTAAAAGTAATAACATATTGTCTGTCTATAGTGTGTGTGTGTGTGTGTGTGTGTGTGTGTGTGTTGATGCAAACTGGCCTAAGAAAAAGAATAATACAGTACATTCTAAGTTTGTACTAAGAGATGGTTAATTCCCTATTTTCCCCAGTACATATATTTTCATAGATATGCAATTGTGTTATTTTCAATATACTTAAGATTTCTTTTCTGAGAGCCATACATTGTAAGGAAGCTTTACAATGATTTTATACTAAGTGATACATCTCTAATAAGACATTGCTTTGTAAAACTTGGACAGAGAAATCCTGTACAATAGGTAGGAGAAACTGAAAGTGAAGTGAAGTTCTGTTTGGCTTAAGAAAGGGAGAAGGGGGCTGGCTATTTTACCTTCCTCCAACTTTTTATCTATCTTTTATTGGTGTATGTACTGTATATGGGAGTATATGTAATTTTTCTAATATCTACTTTCTCATTGAACACAATGGAAGAAGGCTCAGTCCAAAGTGATTTTCTCTTATTTTGGGAATATAGCAAATAAAGTAAACGTTGCTCTAACAAACTGAAGCCATATACACCATCATTTAACTTTGATAAGGTCCAGAATCTGCTTTTCTAGCAGTTTTCATAAGAAACTTGCAGAACAAGGCAGTGCAAGGGGACTGTAGTTTAATGTCCCTTAAGGTACCAGAATATTATGATTGTTTCTCTGAAGATGATTGGGCCTACAATGAAACCATATTATAGCTTCTTTTACCATGATATGGAGCAGTATTTAAGGCATTTATGGATAGATAAATAGATATGGTTGGAAGAGGCTGGAAGTTCACTGAAAACTCACAACCAACCATGCATGGAATGTAGTGCTCTCTCTTTCTGCAGGTGAAAAGAATATTATGGATCCTCAGCGCCCTAAATGATACTTCTTGACAGTCTCATTACCATTACATTTTCTTTGCCCTAGTAAAAAAACATCTCTCTGTATCATTGACTGTTCCTTCTATTTAGTTCAATGACTATTGGCTCAAATGCTCATGGAACAACTAAAAGAAGACAGGAAAGGCTGTATTAGGGCTGTCAAACTTATGGCCCATGGGCCAGATGTGTCACACGCTGTTCATGTCCACACCCAGTTTAGCAAAGGGAGAAAAAGTCACAATACGTCACGTGACAACACAAGTTTGACACCCTTGGGCTATATCATTGGGAGAAAAATAATATTTATTTATATATTTTGTCAAGCATGTATTAGATGACATGTATAAGTATAAACATGATTATGAATACATGAAATGGATACAAATAAAAAGGAACATTAGGACAGGGACGGTAGGTATGTTGGTGCACTTATGTATTATTATATAATATATTACAAACAGATGATATGTTTTCCTATAAAGAGAGCTATTGTCAGTGAAGACAAATACGAATGGGCAATGCCTGTGAATAGGTATCCCGATCCCTAAGTAAGTTAAGTAGGCATCTCTAATGGCTAAGGCTAGTTGTTATCTGCTAGGGTTCCATCTATTGGTTGCCTGCTCCAATGTCAAGGGAAGTACACACTTATTTTATCTTCCTGAGAAACCTCTGGTCTTATTTGACAATTGCTACCATCACTGTGAAGTAAGCTTGGAATCCATTTGAAATGAACATATCGTCATTTTTATAAGGAAGAATTTATAACACTCTTTCCATCGTTAATTAGAAAGGGGAATTTTTGATAGGGATGCTTCACAAACATCACATCAAAGAACATTCATTCTAGTTGTAATGAAATCTGAGTTTACCTCCTCATGCTGGAGTCACTATGTGCTGACCTACTTTACACTTACTTATTTTGAACATCGCTTTTTTTACTGCATTATGGAAGAGTATAAAAGACAAGGCACAAATACATTTATGAACTGCTTTTTGGAGTAGTTACTGTTTTTGGACTGGAAACCATGTGGGGTCACTGTTCATGATGCAACAATGCAAAATATTTTCTACACTTTAGGAAAGAATACACATAAAAAGCTCTGTAGTTTGCAAGGTATCCCAAGATTATTCACTCTTCTTCTTTACTTCATGGAAATTTAAAGCTTCTTGCTTTCTCCTTTTTTTCCATAGGGAATTTATGCCCTGACATCACTGAAAACAGTCTTTTTAAATCTCTTTTTACATGAATGTAATTTTGCAAAATACATTTTCTTTTTGGCACACAATGCACAATGGATCAAATTGATTAGTTATAGCAATAGTGCAGTATTGAAAATTCTAGACAACTTTTGAGATATAGGCATATACTGTATGTGTGTATAATACATGTGTGCATGTCATATCTCTTTGTGTATAGCAGGGGTATCAAACTTGAGGCCCATGGGTCAAATCTGGCCCATGGGATGCTTAGATCTCGCCTATGGGACTGCCCTGGAAACAGCAAAGAACTGGCTCGCAGTTCCTCTGTCAATGAAAACGGAGCTGCACGTTTTTGCTGGCAGATGGTTGCAGGAGGCCATCACAGGCAAAAACGGAGCTCAGGCAGAATGCTTGGGCCACCACAGGCACCCCAACATGAATGACGGTTAGTGGCCATGCCCATCCTGGCCACGCCTCCCCCCAAGCTCAAACACAACCCCAATGCGGCCCTCAATGAAATCAAGTTTGACATCCCTGGTGTATAGGGTATTAACTCCCCCATTTAGAATTCTAACAAGTAAAAGAAATAGAATGGAACTATTGATGGGCAATGAAGAGGAAATAATTGATGAGGGAATATTCTAAATTTTCATGAAATATATTAGTTTGTTTCAAACATGGATGAAATATTTTCACTTTTTCTTTCAAACTTCTCTGACTTTAATTGACAAAATGTCAGGATAAGAATGAATTATCAGTCAAGAAGGAACAACAGACATTATATTTATGTGCTGCACATATATTCCCAATTTTTTAAATGTACTCATCAGGAAGCATAATATTATATTGTGCCTATATTTCAAATAGGAATGCTGAGGTTA